TGTTAAAGGTAACACTAAACTTCAGAATAAAAGATTCAGTGATTAATATAAAGTCATCCATTATTAACTTTACTTTGAAGTTCTAAAGTAAAGGAGGAATGGTGGCTTTAATCCTTAGGACCTTCACTGTAACATGCAGAAAATGGAACTGCTAGTAAGGTGAGAAAAAGAAAGCATAGGCTGAAATCTTGACTCCCAGGTGGTGAGAACTGTTCTCAGATAACTCAGTTTCCAGACTATCTTCCTCAGGGCTTATCTCAAGAGTGCAGATGACAGGAGAGGGGACCGACCCTCCGGGCCCACCCGGATGGGGCTCTGACTTCTAATGATCGTCTCTGACCTCACCCCCTATGTGTGGCACGTGGACACAGACCGGCCGTGGTGGACACACCTGCAATCCCAGGCTGGGGAGGCTGAAACCAGGAGGATCGCTACGAGTCCGAGCTGCAGAGTAGGGCCCTGTGCCAAATACATGAAAAATAAATAAATGTCCCCTCCAAAAGCATGAACATTGAAGACAAGTAAGTACTTGGGGCCTCCAGAAGAACACTGGCCGGCTCAGGTTGCGAGGGGGAGCGCGCCGGCAGGGCGCAGTGGGCTGTGCCTGCCGCCTGCACTGCGGCTCCACACCGGGAGCGAGCCTGGGTTAGGGCCAGCGAGCACGCGCAGACGAGCTCACCTGCAGGTGAACCGACCAACCGCATCTGGAGATAGGGAGAGGCAGGCTGAGGGGCCAAGGACATGTGGGCTAAACTGCCATTATCACTGCTTGTTGTGGGGAGGGGAGGTGATAGTTCAGAAAACAAACGCAGTGTATTACATTTTTTTAAAACACCTTTATAAATCGGTCAAAAAATTATAGTCAGGAGGAAAGACAATATAGATCATACAAAGTGGAACTGCAGTGAGAGAACTGGACCTGGTACTTCAACAATTTACCATTCAGTTAAAAATCAAATAGCAATTATGCTGCGCAAGAAGTCCCTGCCTACCCTAGCACTACTAAGTGGCACACGTGGAAGCATGTGGCACCCGTGGCTGTTGGCTTTGCAGAAGTATCAGCAACAGAACAAGAAACCACTCCATTGGCCTCCTGGACGTTCAGATGGACAGCAGACCGCTATGTAGCCCCCAGAGAACATGAGGTGGCTCTCTCCCTGCTAGCACAGGAGAACTTGCATGACACGGGAAGTGAAACATGCTTACCAACAGAGGCAGGGCTGCATAAGGTTCCTGCCACCTGCTGTTTCACCCAGGTAAAGACAGATCTAAATCTGCTCGTAGTACACTGCACGGCGGGACCCCTAAGGAAACGGCTTGCCTGAGGAAACCCACGTGTGCCCGGGGGGTGCTTGTGGGCCGTACACTAACACAGCCACCCTGGGCTGGGGCTGGGGCCTGGCACCAAGACCCCACCCGCAGCATGGACACCAAGCTCCACGGGTGTCCCTCGCTCCTCATTGGATGCCATAGCATTCCCAGACGTCTGTGAATATCTTCCTGTCCCCACGAATCATCCCTTGGTTCCTGTCGATAGGGAACACCTGTGAATGCCATTAAATACTGGGTAAGCGCGCTGTTGAGGGGAAACGACAGGAAACACGGTTCCTATGGGCTCGGCACCGACATAGCACTTCCAGGGCACGGCCAGCCTGCAGCCGGGCGGAGCGGCAGAACCGGCGCCTGAGTGTGAGTCGTGCTCTGCTGACCCTTTGAGCTTTTATCATATGCATATTATTTGTTTTGCTACACAGAACTTATTTCTTAAGCAACAGCTCTGAGCCCTGAGATGGAATTTTGGCCTTGCCAGTTACTGGCTGTGTAAATCTGAGTCCGTGTCCTCCCCATGGCAGCGGGGGTGACAGGACCACCGAATTCAGAGAGGTCAGTCACCTCAGGGGCAGAAGGCTAGAAAAGTCGGCCTTCCTCAGGGCCCCGCAACGCTGCCCTGAGTGAGGCAGAGCCCCTCCACGCTCTGCGGGGGCACTTCCAAGCAGGACCCTCTACCTGAGGGGGACTCCATGTCTTCTGGTTTTCCTAAATTATTTAAGTCTATCTCATCCTTTGCTTCAGATGGGTGTCAGGTGGCCCAGAGTCCACTGAGAAGCTGGTGATGGCAGTGTTTGCCCCTTTTATGAGCACACGATCTGAACCTGGCCTTCTAAACTTTGTCACAACAGACATGGACTCATGACAGCAAACCTCTAAGTTAAAATGCAATCAATTTTTATCAAATCATCTTCATTATCTCCTTTTCCCTTGCCCCAAATATCTAGAAAATTGCTTCCATTTTCCATTTCATCTTGCCTCTACAGACCAGCTCCGGGCCCTGACAACTCCTCCTGAAGTTGTCACCACTTACAGAGCTCATTTTCCTAAGAGTTATTAAAGATTTAGGGGCGCACTGGTTGCGTAAATGTGCTTTTTTTTTTTTTTTTTGCAAGTGCTATTAAAAGAAATTGAATTTTTTAAAGTGGTACCATGAAAGGGCTCACTTTATAGGCGAAATTCTCAGTAGAGTGCACCCAGGAGCTGACCCTCGCTGCCGCCCTTCCCTCAGGAGCTGACCCTCGCTGCCGCCCTTCCCTCCCACTGCTGTGCTCCCAGAGAGGAAGACACAGGCCCGCCTGGGCCACTTTTACACCTTCTGCTCTGATCCTGGACAGTGGCAAAGAACACACGCGTCCCAGAGGGGCACGGAAGAGCAGTACTTAGGATAGACAGTGCCACCCACCTGGCATCTTTTCATTTTACGTGCAGAAACTTCAGTTTTCTAGTAATAAAATTCATTTGGGGGGAGTATCATTTAGCCGCCGTCCAAGGCTGCGAGAGCCTGAAGGGTTGGCGCCAACACTTTCCTAAAGCAGTGCTGTTGCTATGATGGAGGCCCGCCTCGTACGAGCAAAGTCGGCGGCCGGCCGGGCAGCGCAGTAACCATCAGGGGCTCTGCGCTTGCATCCTCTTGCTTTGCATCCAATTCAAGGCTGCTATTAAGAGAAATAACGTAGGGGCCGGGAGACGGCTCAGTGGAATAAGCGCTTCCCTGGCAAGCGCAAGGGCCTGAGTCAATCCCCAGATCCAGAAAAAACCAAAAGAGAAATAATGTAGTATCTTCAAATTGCTTAGCAGAGTATTGCTCATCTACTGCATAGAGAATAAATGTAACTTGCTGTCTTCAGTTATTGCGATCATGAAATATTTTTGTATAAATTTTCTATTAAAATCATATATATTTGATTATAAAATATAATTCTATTTTATGTGATTACTATTTCCTGTTTCCACCTTGTGAAATCAATGAATACTTTTCTAGACTGTGACGTATCTAATTGAAAAATTATTTAACACATTCTGAGTTTATCTAAAACAGTTTGTGCCCTCTTATGATACTGAAATTAACTTCACATATGCTGGTTTGCTTCTTAAGGGATGTAAGGTGAAGTCCTCACTTACCCGGCTCTCTGTGCTAGCTCTTGGGGAACTGGTGGTAAAGAAAAAGACAGTGTGGTTCCCAGTGAACTGCACTGTGTAGTGGGAAGAGAATCAGTCAGGTCCCTGCGCTGAAGAGGGGAGCACACGGCTGGCTGAGAGGCGTGCAGAAGACACCCACGTGCCCCCTGTTGAGTATGGGGTGTCCCCCACGTCTCGTGTTGGGGCTGGCCCCCGGCAGCAGTATTCAGCAGTGGGGCAGCGGGGAGCTGACTGCCTGTGGGCTGGAGAACTCGTCCGTGGGTGAGGTGAGTGGCCTAGCACTGAGTTTGCAGCAGACTGTGTGGCCAGGAAAGAGGGGTGGGGAGGAGAGGCCTCGCTGGAGAGGAGGGTGGCCAGGAGAGGCGGCGCTCGTCCTCAGCCACCCTTTCCTTGGCCCTTCCCGTCCCACTTCCACATGTAAGCAGCAGCGCCTCTCAGGGGCCTTCTGCCCTGGTGTCTCTGCCCATGAAGCTGTGAGTCCCAGTAAGCTCGCTCTCCGTCCTGCTGTGCGCCGGGGATTTTGTCCCAGCAGTGGGAGAGTGACCCATAGGACATGGTGCCTCAGGGGTTTGTTGTAAAAGAAAGGCACTGCCGCAGAGGTCAGGCAAAGCTTTCTTCTTGGAGAACGACCTGACCGACAGCTGACAGATGAACAGAAGCTAACTATGCGCAGGGCAAAGCAGGGCATGGTGGCGAGCAGAGGGAACAGGACTGGGACAGAGCAAGCCAGACATGGGCGGGGCGGAGGTCCAGGTGGGGACACAGAGAGCAGGGCTGAGGCGCTACAGAGACGCACTGGGACATTTTATGGGTGCTTTGGGTCTTTATTTGGAAATAGCTTTCAAGGCACTCTCAGAAATGTGTGTGTGTGTGTGTGTGTGTGTGTGTGTGTGAACTCGTACAAATGTAAAAAAAAAATTACAAACTTAAAAAAACACCTGGTCATTTTGTGCATAAAATTGACCCAAGCCACTGTTCTGCTTGCGAGTTTTTCTGTGTGACAGTTTGATGGCTGAGGGCAGCCTGAGGTAAGGCAGAAGCCAGGGGCTGCTCCCACTTCTCAACTGCGTCGATGCGAACCTGCCCCAAACTCACGGAAGCGAAGCTGCGCTTAGACGGAGACGGCGCGCACACAGCCCCACTGCAACCCGGGACGGGCTTTGCGCACAGTGGGGGACGACTTTGTGCTCAGTTGTAACAATTTTTTTTCCTTATTTGCTTTGAAAAAATGTACTGTATGCTATAAAATTGAGAGATAAATTTGATTTTAGAATTGTGAAACATGTTGCGTAACTGAGGAGAAGATATATCAGCATCGCTATACTTGACTGATTCTACAGTTTTTCTGTGGCTGAAGATTTTTAGGTGCCAAATACATGCTAGAATTTTCTTTCAATGAAAGAAATCCCATAAGGAATGAATAAATGGATAATTGATGAAATAAAGAAAAACAAAAAAATCTGCCATAGGAAAGCACATAGACTTTCTAGCTAACTTTCTTACTGGCGCTTGCTACCATGGAAATAAGTGGAGCCTGAACACGTGAACTGAACCAGGCAGAAGTCATCCGAAGGACGGCAGCCTGCGTGGCAGGCTACAACACTGGAAAACTCAAGTTATTCATTTATGATCACTTTTCAGAAGGATTCTTTTTTTTTTTTTTTTTGGTGACTCAGACTGCCTTAAGAAAAGGTCAGGTGCAGCCTGTGGTGCTGGGGATCGCCCCGCAGCCGCTTGCCCCGCTGAGCTGACCCGGCAGCCTCCAGGTTTTACGATCACTTTTGTTGTTTATCTCTTTTTGGTTTTTTTGATTGTTGTTTTTCTAGCACAGTTTATCTTGAGTATTCTTTTAATTGTAAAGAGAAAAAAAAAGAAAAAGGATATGGAATTTCAAAAGAAAATGACAGGAAATTAACAATGGTTATCATGTTGCGTCTTGTTATCTTCCGTATCCAGCAAAGCAGCTGCTGAGATCCCCAGATCCAGGCATGCAGTCGGCCAGAGGACCTAAGCACCCGCTCGCTGCTCTTGCCCACAAACGCACAGAAGGTGGCAGCCTACTTACCCTAGCTGTCTTGGGTGTGCGCGCGTGACAGGCAGCATTCCTTTTATTCTCCCCTCTTCTTTTTCTCCTTTTCCCGCCACAGTTCTTTCCTTTTGAGCGGCTTCTTTCCCTTCCACAGTATCTATTGACCTTTTTTATTTTATTTACTCTTTCAGTTTCTAACACTGAGGTGACAATATGATGTTAGGAGACAAGCGGGAATTTTAAAGTTAATTTTAACAGATCCACGAATGAGGTGACAGGTTGACCTTCTGAGCATCTTTCGTCGCATTTGCAGGACCTTCTCCACGGCCTTCTCTTGGTAAGCTCATGAAATTAGGTCTTGCATACTTTCCACCTGTGGAACGTCACGTTTCATAGCTTTAATTCTCTGGAGGAACTCTCCGTGGTTCACCTATATCGTGCACCTGCACTTCTGTCCTTGAGTAGGTTAATTTTTACCTGAGGTTCTCCTCTGCCGCATCCAGCGCTGCCGCACTGTCTGCTGGTCTGCGCATCCGGGCTGCGGCTGCAGGCTGCCCTCCCACCTCCTCACACTGTGGGGATCGTCAGGATGCATGCACACTGGTGGCCGCCGGATCACCTCCTCCCTGGGCCAGGCTGCAGGCCACGTTGGCAGGGCACCACGCCCGCTCTCAGCTCGGCCAGGAGCCTGCGCTCTGGCTGGCTCAGTGCTGCTGAACAGCTGTGTATCACTATTCCTCCCTGGTCCCCAGCCTGTCCCCGCTCGTGCTTCCAAGAGTCCCAGGACCGTGCCCCCTCTCTAAACGCCTGGAAGCCCCCGGAGGTTTCAAGTTTTGTCTGCTGGGTTCCCTGCATCCTTCTCAGTTTGGAAGCATCCCAAGACGAGGCTGCTCCAGCATGTGTTCCTCAGGAAGAAGTCCAGTTCCTTCCTTCTGGGGAAGCCCAGGCCCAAGAGTCCCTACGACTATCCCCCGAACTTCTGCACGGCTCCAAATTTGGCAAACAGACCTCAGCAGTCTGTGGGATTCTAATGGGCCCCGTGAGCCCCTCACCGAGACTGTGCCCACTGCCCTTCCGTGTGAGCCAGGCCTGACCCGCAGTTCTTGCGGGAGCTGGTGGTCTGCCCAGGGAGGAGAACAGTGGCCGTCCTCCTCTGCACCTCAAAAGGTGGCGTGCCTGGAGCTTCCCCTTGCTTCACCCACCACACCTAGCTCCTTTCGGGCACTGCTTATGAAACACAAGTTCCTGAAGAGCCCATGATGCTCTCGTGTGTGTATGATGACATTTTACTGTTTAGCTTTTATTTTAGAATTTGGAGTGCCCCAGGAATAGCTGGAATGCTCATTGTTTTTTGTTTTTTTGTTTTTGAGACATTTGTGAGAAAACCAAGAATGGCTGTGGAGGTTCCTGAAGAGTTATGGGGGCAGGGGAAGACCAGGAAAGGGCAAGACAAGAGATGGACCCCCCTCTCTCCTTAGAGGGAGCCCTGGAGTCTCACTTCCCACGAGGTAGAGCTGGTCTGAGGGTCCAGTTTGCAGTCAACCCAACCCCGAAGCCCTGATCCCAGTGCTTGAGAGCCACAGCTGGTGGCCCAATGCATGGTTTACTGAGCCACAAACAGACTATGTTCCTTTACTTCAGGGAAAAATATAGTAAAGTAACAGGAAAGATGGAGGACAGTGGATACTGCTGTCTCTTTCAATCAAAATAACAGACAAAAAGAAATACTGCATAAGCAAAAACTTCACAATAAAACACTGCTGTAGGATATGGACCACAAACTACTAATGAAAGTGATAAAGAGTGAAATAAATAAATGTGACAGAATGACTGCTAGCAACCTTCATGACACAATGAAGGCAATAACATTTTTCTACTATCATTCCTACTGTCATATCCCTTTCTCGGGCACGAAATAACACAGCTGTTACAGCTTAGGAACACTTGAAGAGGTTGAACACAGCAGCAACTATGAGTGCACAGTAATACCCAGTTATTATACCATAATAACAGTACAGGCAACAACCTGCAAGGTTCATGAAACAATTCATGATACCTGAAATTATAAGGCAAACACTTAAATATAAATCTTGTTTCACGTCATCAGGAAAGCTCACAGAAGACCTTAACTAGAAGACAAAGTAAAAAGCAGGGATCTGTTGGTGTCACTCCCCTTTTCCTGGTTGGTTTGTGGTCTCCCTTTAACCGGTCTGTGGGGAGAAGCTGGAGACTCATGCTAGCAGCCCCCTGCGCCGCCGGCTTTTGGGCACTAGCTCCAGTACCTGCAGCACCAGGCCCCTCAGTGACAGTGTGGCTTTGGCCTGTAACTTCTCACATCCTCCTGTATGCTTTAAGTGTCTCTGGGTCACTTATAAAGCCTAGTGCAATGGAAATGCTCACAAACAGTCCCTGTCCTACTCTGTGTAGGGACATCCAAGAAAGTCTGCCCCTGCTCAGCATGGATGAGATACATTGTTCTCAAATACCTTCCACTTGCAGGTGGTCTGGCCAGTGAATGCAGAAACACCCATACAGAGGGCTGGCTGTAGTTGTGTTTTACTCAATGACTCCCATGTATTTATATCTAAACAGTAATCTGCGTGTAGATGTTCTAAGAGTATGGGAAGCGTCACACCTAAGTTGTATGTGTGGATGCTCAAAAATTTCTCGATTATAAAGGACCTCTTGGGTTAGTTTTAAAGGACAACCCAGTGACCAGTGTGGTCATTATCTGAGTTTAGACCAACAGTACTTCTGGTAAGTGTTACCACCGGCATCACTTTTATTCCTGTTGGTGGTAGGACTCTTCGTGGAAGTACTTGTAGACTTGTGCTGGGGGAGGATTTCTCTCTCAGCTACCTCTTAGATGCGCGTGGTGGGGCCCCAGCAAGGGTGCCCGTAATGTTGAACACAGCCCCTTAAGGCTGTGCTTCACAGCACCTTGGAACTCTGTGGGTTTCCAGACTCTACGTGGTAACGAGAGTGGCGCATCACTGCGCAAGGCTGGGGCCAGGCCATCACCAGGGCTGCAGCCCAGACGAGGGTGTGTGCTTGGGGCCGCCGAAAGCTTCGGTTTAGACCTAGTGTCTCAGTCCTCCAATGTCAAGGCCATGTCATATTGGTACTTTTGGGGTGCTCTCTGGGGTGCTCTCTGGGGTGCTCTCTGGGGTGCTCTCTGGCAATGCCGAGTTCATGCTTCAGCGTAAAGCTCCCAGGAAAGGTCGATAGGCCAGTGCACTTTTTCCATTCTCTCTGCTTTCCCTGTGTATATGTTGTTAGACTTGTAACTGGATCCTGAAGAATGATTTGATACAGGGCTTGAGTCCTGATGATTGTTCCAAGTTCATTTTTGCACAGAAGGTTTAGAAATGCTATTACAATAGGAAAACAGGGATTGCGGGAGATTCTCTAAGGGGGGCTGCTTGCAGGACTGAGCTAAGCCAGCCCTCAGCACCCAAAAGGCAGGAGGTGGCCAGGCACATGGTTTCTCTGATGAGCCTTCTGGAGCCATGAGCCAAAGCGAGTCCTTCCTGCTGTAAGCTGCTTGCTCATGTGCTCTTGTGGCAGGGGACGCTGACCAACACAGAGAGACATTAAGACCTATGTGTGTGAGCGACCCCTGGACCAAACTGCCAAATTGTTTGAAGCAAGTTAAAACAGAAAAGGTATGGTTCAAAATTATAAGCAGTACTTTTTATGAAACATCTCTCCACTGCTAAATAAGCTCCGAATACTCGAATAAACCGACTAGTGTAAAAACACCCACATTCTCAGAGGAGATGTGATTCGTACAAGAGAAAATCGTCTGTTGTTTTGCAATCATTTAAGGAGGAAACAATACCATTAGCACTAAAAGGAAGAAAGAGACAAAGCAAGAAAGAGAATATGTTCCTACTTATTCTGTGAGCACAATCCTTCCGTCAAACCCAAGTGATATCAATGGAAAAGAAAACCAGATGCCCACTGCTCTCATGAACACACAGAAAATTCTACAGACCTGCTCTGCAAGCCCCCCAAGGGAAACTGCATCCTGACCAAGAGGGGTTTTTGTGAGGAACACAAGACTGGTGATATCGATTAAGTTCACTTACAAGCAAAGGGAAAAGCCTGCGTGAAAATTGGGAGAGATGTGAACGCATCACGTTTATGACTGCAGAGTCCTCAGCCCAAGAAGCCACTGCAGTGAGCAACGTTGGGGAGAGTCTGCAGCGAGCACCCCGCAGCAAGGCCTGGGCTCCCCAGAGGGGGTGGCAGGGGTCCCCCTCCTTCCTCCTCCCCAGGCTCTCCTGGAGTTGCTGGTCAGTGAGTTAAGGCAGGAAGAGGAGACCGCACCCCCGCGTGTATCCATATGTTGTTTTTGCATGTATTTATACATACACACTAACAACTTTTATCTAGAAAACCCTTAACAATCTGCAAAAAGTGTTTAAAAAAAAACGTGGTTTTGGCAAAGTAGCAGAATGCAAAATTGGTATTTCATTTATAAGAAACAATAGAGGTAAATTTTTTTTTAATTTTATAACAACATCCAAGACCATAAAATACTTAAAGATTTATTTAACAAATATAGAAAATTTCACATACTGGCAACTACAAAAGCAAAACACATAGTGAAACTGAAGAAAGCTACACAAATGGAACAATAAATACTCCATGTTCTTGGGTAAAAGGATCTTTATTTTAGGACGCCAACCTACCTGCAAGGTCACAGCAATGCATTCCTAATTATAATCCCAGCAAGCATTTTTGGTAGCACTTGTGAAAGTTTATCTACAAAGTCAAAAATCTCAGATTAGCTTTCAAATAATCTTGAATGGAAAGAGCAAAACTGCGGAGGGGAAGCTCGGGTCTATCAAGGCTTCTTACACAGCTGCGCTTACCACGGCGATGCAGCACGTGCACCAGGAAGGCGCGAAGGCCCCGCGCTCGGAAAAGTAACTAGAAACAAGTAAGAGGGCTGAGAACTGAAGCCGCACGACATCGGAAGGACGGCCAGGCGGGCTGCTCTGGAGGCCCCCGAGGCTTCTCGCCACTGAGGAGGACTGAGATTCCGGGCAAATAAAGCTATGGGGGCTTCAGATGGGTGCTCCCCCAAGTAGCTGGTCACAGAGTCCTCACGGTGTCGTCCCCTACAGGGAGTCCACAATAGACAGCGGTAGGGGACAGGCACAGCTCAGGGAGCAGCTGTGGTCCTGGCCAGGCAGCCCAGGCTTAGGTGAGGCCTGTGATGAGTGTTCCTGGGCTGCTGGCCACACACGTGTGTTTGCACTTGACACACACTCCACAGGTCTGCAGGTCACGCACCATCCGGTGGAGTCCTATGTGCTGGGCACCGGACACTGCTGAGGCCTCTGCTGTCTTGCTTTGGGAATGGACAATCATGAGGCAATCTCGTAAGCATGGCGCGCTCGGGCAGGAGAATGCCTGCTGAGGCTGAAAGCAAGCCAGAGAGGCCCAGGCGTGGAGGAGGCACCGTTCTGCTTCAAGCTTTCCCTCTCTCGGAGTAACCCGCTCCTCCATTTTCTAACTCTCCTCTAATCATGTCACGAACGACACACAACGCCATCACCACACTTCTTGCTACTAACCAAAGTGACCTGACTGAGGGGTTTGGGAGCTTGTGCACTAAAAGCTGGGCTCTTCCTGCTCCCTACTGCATTTTGAATGTTTTCTTTTGTCTTTCAGTCCTTGCTGCCCCCGTCAGGCACCTGCAGTCCGATCGGGCCCCTGCGCCCACATGTAGCCATGGACAGCGGCTCGCGAACCTCCTCCTCTCCTCCATGGTGACCACGGATCCACTTCTTTCTGGAGCCTGACAGAAATGCCCCAGGTGGGTAACCCACAGTTTATCATGAACAGCAGGATCCTCAAAAGCAAACGCCTTTGCTTTAAAATAAACCCTGGTAAGGATCCCCCAGAAGAACTTGGGGTGCCCCCTGCCCAGCTGGGGACCGGGCTGCCCACACACCTCTCTAATCCAACCGTGTAGGACACAGGTTGTGAACAGCAATGGAGAACAGCCTGCACCATGCTCCAGTGCAGTGGCTGCTTCTGCCTCAGAAAAGTAAGACATTCTAGAAAGTAAAGCAAAAGCTGTCACCAATGTTTTTAAATTTTTAAAAAACTGGCAGCTTTTCAGTACCACAGTAACATTAATGGCATTGTCCAACATCCCCAAAACATGTAGGTCACGTTCCCACGTGCACCCACACTTCCTCTGCACTGCTTGCAGAAGTGAGGTTTGGCTTCCACCCATGCCGAGGCTTGAGACTGACAGTTCCCTGGTACCCAGCACTAAATGACTCCGCTTTGCCCATTTCCTTACTAGGATCCTGCAGGTTCAGGCCCCAGCTGCAGGAAGACCTTGGCATCCTCAGTCATGCGGTGCCTTTTTCACACATGAATGCTCCTCAGGGGGAAACCGAGGCAGTCACGCTGCAGCACGAATGTCACGATGGAGGTAAGTGCCGCTCTCCTTCTGAGCAGCCACACGGGACTGCAGGCTAGCCGGTGGACATGGGAGTGCGGGAGAGCACTCAGTTTTTAAAGAGATTTACGGAGCTGCCCCTGTGTACACGTACGTAACAGGTGCAAGAAGAGAGTGATTTAAAAAGTAGATATTGCCCTGGCTCAGATGAGGCTTCCAGCCTTGTGGGAGAGGAGGCACGTCAGAGGCCTCACATAGAGG